TTCCCTTGCTTTACCTTTGGGAGATTCCTGGAACCCTCAGTCTCCTGCTCTCTTGGGTGGAACAGCCAGGTGCCGCCTCAGACACTCCATCATCTGCCAGCTCACTAGGGAGGCAACCCAACTCAACAACTGCCCACATGGAAGAGAAGAGTCCAGGCACAGAGGCAAAGCCCAGACCAGCCTGACACACCTGGGATACTTTGGGGCCCCTCTTCACAACACAAACAAAAACCCAAACCCAGGAGTTCTACAGGCTGACCTCACTGATGACTCCCCACTTCTCTAAACTCTGGTCACGTATTCAGTCCCCTTTGACACACACCATCAACACCAGCCTTCGGTCTCAAATACTCACACTTTAATGGAGGAATGACCACAATGGAAGGGGCAGCTCCTCACGCACAGCACAGTGGCAAAGCCAAAACCCGCCTGACATGGCTGCGGTAGAATTGGGCCCCTCTTCACAACACACCCACAAAAAAACCGATACGAGTACCACAGAATGACCTCAGTAATGACACCCATATAATTCCAAGGCATTTGTTGTATATTTTGGTTATTCAGACACATATATTCCAAGCAAATCCTCCCAAATACAACTCTCGCTTAAAAGCTGACACCAAGTTCAGATGGAATCGGCCTCAAGAGTAGGACATGAAACTGAAGGATTGTGGAAGAAAAATATTCCCCACACCACAACACAGAAATCTATGACACACAAAACTGATGTTAAAACGTCTGTTCAAGTACCTCTAGTGGGGAATAAGGTCAACCAATTTTTTTGAAAAATAAATATCCACATTTCCTTCAACTGAGCATCAAGTCTTTTTATATCCTTCAAAAATTTTTCTCTCCATGTTTCTCTCAGAGCCCAGCAACGGGACCCCACAGTGTGACCGTGCTGGGCCTAGCTGAGATGAGAACTACGGATGAAACCACACAAGACATTGGACAGCAGTGGCGGCATCACAGGGATTGTTCTCCCATATCCAGCAGGAAAGGCCTGCCATAGAGATAAGTTGAGAATGTTGCCAATGGGACAGGGAGGGAGAGAACATGCTGGAAGGGGACACCCTTCATCTCCAATAGAGTTGCGAAGCCCAGATGGGCCTGACATGGCTGTGGGGGAATGAGGACCCTCTCCACAGGACACCCACAAATCACAGCACTCCAGGGACATTGCGTGACTTCACTGTTGGAACCCCACTGTCCAAAGCTCTGGTCACATCCACATCCTGCCAAAAAAAACATCTTCATAAACAGCCATTGGTCTCTAATACCTGCATTTAAAAGCTGCTGAGAAGGACAGAAGGACATGGATGCAAAAGTAGAACATGACACTGCAGAGGTGGGGGATGGAAAACATTCCCCACCTCAGCACTCACGACACTGAGTCAGCCAGGAACTGTGGCCTGCAAAATCCCCCAAGGCCATGGGACAAGGATGTCCCACCCCTCCAGAACCAGCATAAAAGCCGGCCCAGAGCCTCTCTCCCTCACACACTTCTCCTCAAGCCTTCTCCTCCTGCTCCTGCCAACAACAAGGTAAGCCTCAAGCCCTGACCCTCCTGCTCCTGCACTCCTGGCCCCTCTCTTCCAGCATACAAAGCCCCAGGCTCAGCAGCCCTCACGCCTCCCCACAGCAACACAACAGCCTCCACAATACCTCACACTCCTGCATCACTGCCCCACGCACACCCACACCCCAGTCTAACCTCATCCCATCTCTTCCAGGCACCCTCCACACCACACCCATGGCCTGCAACAACATCTGCAGTCCCTGTGGACCCACCCCGCTGGCCAACAGCTGCAACGAGCCCTGTGCCCTGCAATGCCAGGATTCCCGCGTCATCATCAACCCTTCCCCTGTGCTGGTCACCATGCCAGGACCCATCATGACCTCCTTCCCCCAGAGCACCGCCGTCGGATCCACCTCCTCCGCTGCTCTGGGCACTGAGCTCAATGCCCAGGGACAGCCCATCTCTGGCGGATTTGGCTTTGGCCTTGGCTACGGCCTGGGAGGCCTGGGCTGCTACGGCAGAAGGGGCGGCTACATCTGCTAAGGGCCCTCAGCACCACCCCTGACACCACCAGCTCTGGCCTCTGCCAACAGCTCCTGCAAGCAAAGCACCTCCGCTGATGGCCTCTATACTTTTACCTCACACCTGATTCCTTCAGCTCCTTCCTTCTCATCCCTATTTGTATTCAATAAATTGTTCTTGCATCAAAACCTGAGTTGCTTCCTCTTCTTTTTGAATTCCAATGGTCTCACATCCTCACTCTGTGCAATGCCAGCACTCAACCATTATGTGGGATGGAAAGGGAGCAAAGAACATTTCTTACCAAATATGTCCCCACCAGGAATAACCAACGCTGACATGGGAAACAGGGGAGAGTAGTGGACCTTCCAGAACATGACACAAGTCCATCCCCTCATCTACCAAAGGCTTGGACACAACAATTCTCTCCTGGGCACTGCTATGACAAAGTCACTCTATGCCAGCAGACACTTGAAAAATTCTCTTCCAAGCAGCACTCTTGAGTCCTCCCCGTGGACAGAGGAACAAGAGCATCCACTTGGGCAGGAAATCTCGAGAGCATGTGCTTCCATTACCTGTGCTCAAGCAGACCTGGCAGGAGTAGGATTTCCAGAATTATGGCCAGTTCAATTTTGGACCTCCAAGAAGATGGACCCCTTTGTCTCTTACACTCTGGGACAATCCACACATACTGAACAATCCTTCCTTCCTCTGCCCATGGAATTCCATCTATTTTCACTCATGCATGGACCCCCTTTCCCTTCATGTGTGCAGCGTTGAGAACAGCTGGGCTCCCGGACACTGGTGACAGTCCTCTGCCCAGCCTTGTCTCCTGAGAGTCCCAGCACTCTCACCCTCTCCTCTAGCAAAGATTCTCCAGCCCTTGCACTACATGATGGCCCTCAACCTCTCTTCGTTCACTACCCCCTTGTGCTTCTTCAGCTGTCGAGGCCAGAACTGTCCATAGCACTCCTCACAGAAACTCACCAGTGCTCTAAAGAGAGGAGGGGCCACCTCTCACAACTTCATGGCAACAATTTCCTGAAATCTGTCTTGGACACCGGTGATACCCCACTAAAGTAACTCCCCACTGCAACCTTCTGGTCTGTGTTCTTCATCAGCACCACAGGCTCCTGCTCCCAAAAGCCACATTTCAGACTCTCTGCCCACAGCATGAGCCAGGGCACAATCCAATTCCTGTCCAGATCCAGAACTTCACATATTCCGCTCTTGAAATGCAGGACCTTCCTGTAACCCTTAGTCTTAAGGTCCTGCTAACTTGTGGAATAACCAAGTGGGGGCTCAGAGACTCCATCATCTGCCAGCTCACTGAGGAGGCAACTCAAATCTCCAACTGCCAACATGCAATGGAGGAGTCCAGGTGCTCACATCTGGCACAGATGCACAGCCCAGACCAGCCTGACACACCTGGGAAAGTTTAGGGCCCCTCTTCACAACACAAACAAAACCCCAAAACCATGAGTTCCATGGGATGACCTCACGGATGACAACCCACCTCTCCACATCTTGGTCACATCTTCAGTCTCTTTTACACACACCATCAACACGTTAAAGGAGGAATGGCTCTGATGGAAGGGGCAGCCCCTCATGCAAAGCACAGCTGCAAGGGCCAGACCAGTCTGACGTGACTGTGGTGGAATGGGGCCCAAATTCACAGCACACACACAAAGTAAACAACACGAGTGCCACAGAATGACCTCACTGATGACACCCATATTGTTCCTAGGCTTTTGTTGTATATTCTGGTCTCTCTGACACACATCTTGCAAGAAAATCCTCCCAAATTCCAACTCACTTAAACGCTGCTGTCAAGGTCAGATGGAAACAGCCTCAAGAGCAGGACCTGACACTGAAGGATTACGGGAAAGAAAACACTCCCCACATCACAACCTGCAAGTCTATGCCAGGCAAAACCAATGTTAAAATTTTTCTTCTACGACCTCTAGAGGGTAACAAGGTCGACCATCTTTTTCTGAAAAGTGAAAGCCTGTACTTCCTCCAACTGCTCCTCACATCTTCTTCTTATCCTTCACCAGGTTTCCTTTCCAGGTTTCACTCAGAGCCCAGCAATGGGACCCAACCATGTGACCGTGTTGGATCCTGCTAAGACAAGTGCCACAGGAAGAACAAACAAAAGACATCGGAGAGCAGAAAAGGGATCACAGGGATTGTTCTCCCATATGCAGCAGGAAAGGCTCGGCATATACACAGGTTGAGAATGTTGGCAAAGGGACACGGAGGGAGAGAATGTGATGGAAGGGGACACCCTTCATCTCCGGAAGAGCTGCAAAGCCCAGATGAGCCTGACATGGCTGTGGGGAAATGAGGACCCTCTCCACAAGACACACACAAACCACAGCACACATGGGATATTGCGTGACTTCACTGTGGGCACCCCACTGCCCAAAGCTCACGTACACAGCCCTCCACATAAAACATCCTCATGCACCGCCCTTGGTCTCTAATACTTGCATTTAAAAGCTGCCGCCAATGTCAGATGGACATGGAGTCAAAAGTAGGACATGACATTGCTGAGCTGTGGGATGAAAAACACTCTTCACCTCATGACTCACCACTATGAGCTAACCAGGAACTCTGGCCTGCAAAATGCCCCAAGGCCAAGGGACAAGACTGTCCCGCCCCTCCAGAACCAGCATAAAAGACAGCCCAGAGCCTCTCTCCCTCACACACTTCTCCTCACGCCTTCTCCTCCTGCTCCTGCTGACAACAAGGTAAGCCTCAAGCCCTGACCCTCCTGCTCCTGCACCCCAGGCCCCTCTCTTCCAGCACACAAAGCCCCAGGCTCAGCAGACCTCATGCCTCCCCACAGCCCCACAGCAGCCTCCACACTCCTTCACTCTCCAGCATCACTGCCCCTCGCATGCCCACAACCCTGTCTAAATTCATTCTTTCTCTTCCAGGCATCCTCCAAACCACACTCATGGCCTGCAATACCCGCTGCAGTCCCTGCGGACCCACCCCGCTGGCCAACAGCTGCAACGAGCCCTGTGCCCTGCAATGCCAGGATTCCCGCGTCATCATCAACCCTTCCCCTGTGCTGGTCACCCTGCCAGGACCCATCATGACCTCCTTCCCCCAGAACACCGCCGTCGGATCCACCTCCTCCGCTGCTCTGGGCACTGAGCTCAATGCCCAGGGACAGCCCATCTCTGGCGGATTTGGCTTTGGCCTTGGCTACGGCCTGGGAGGCCTGGGCTGCTACGGCAGAAGGGGCGGCTACATCTGCTAAGGGCCCTCAGCACCACCCCTGACACCACCAGCTCTGGCCGCTGCCAACAGCTCCTGCAAGCAAAGCACCTCCGCTGATGGTCCCTCTACTTCCACCTCACTCTGGATCCCTTCAAATTCTCTCCCTTGCCTTTGAAGTCTTATGCCTCAATAAAGTTTTCCTGCATCAAAGTCTCACATGTCTCCTCTTCTTTTTGAATTTGAAACACTCACACCCTCACCCATGGGGTGGATGGCAAAGGGGCACAACACCTTCCTCAACAAGTAGAACCCCAACAAGTGACAACCAGGACTGCCACAGGAAGCCATGTTGAATGATGATTATCCAGAACATGACAAAGTCACATCTTCTGCCATACCAAAGGCTTTGACACAACAATGCTTTCCTGCTCCCTGCTCTGGTTAAGTCTCTCCATGCAAGCATATGCTTGACAAGATCTCCTCCCATCAGAACTCTCAAACCACACAAACATTCACAATATCATCCACTCTCAGAGAAACTCAGGAAGTGCTGCAACGGCCTCCATCCTCTATGCTCAAGGAATGCTAACCAGAGAAGGATTTCCAGAACCATGGACACTGCAGGTTTTCATCTCCCTGCACACAGACACTCCAGCAGCTCTTCCACACTGTGACCAACCTCACATTAAGAAAGGCTTGTCTGCACTGCCCATGGAATTCCACCTTTTTTCACCTGTGCCATTGCTGACTTGTAACAACCCCACATTCAGCCTTGTCTCCTGGAAGTCCCAGCTCTCTGAGTCCTCTCTGAAAAATCCTTCCAGCCCTTTAAATATCTTGGTAGCCCTGAACTGGCCTTGGTTTTGTAAGTCTATGAGTTTCCTCTCCTGGGGACCCCAGACCACCTCACAGCAACTCATATAATTTATGAGCATGTTGAACAGTGTTGGAGTCATGGAAATGACTCTAGAGTTACTTGATTTGAAGTTTGACTCCAGCTGGACAATTGGATCACAAGGCTCCAGATCATGTTGTTTAAGTATTTATGAATAGAGCAGTCCACCTCACTCACCCTTTACACCACCTGTACATCCTTGCATAGTCTGCGATGATGAAGTAGGGAGACAGTGCCAAAGACATTGCTAAGAAGTGAAGGTAAATACCAGCCATGGCTCCCTCCCCATCTACAGTGAGATTCTTTTGTCCTGTGTCTAACAGAGAGGTCACTAAGACATGGATTTTGCCTTTTAAAATCAACTCTAAGTGCTCCTCATCATCTTCTACGACCTGAACTTGGAAATGTTTTGAAGAGGAAAAAATTGACCTATCCTTGTGGGTCCCTGGAAATCCATAGGCAAGGTGGGAGAGAGTAAATGCACTGGAAGGCTCAGGTCCTAATTCCTGGCACAGCCACAAAGCCCCAACCAGCCTGACAAGGCTGCAAATGAAAGAGATCCCTCTCTCAAACGCAGCCCCAAACAAAAGCACACCTATTCCATGGGCTGAACAGATTGATGACATCCCAGTTTTCCTAGGTATTTCTGGTTTATTCTGGTTTCTCTGACATGCAACTTCCAAGCAAACCCTCCCAAATACCAACTCTCACTTTAAAGCTGCTGCCAAGATCAGATGGACTCGAGCACAAGAATAGGACATGGAATTGCAGAGTTGCAGGATGGAAAACAGTACCCAGCTCATCACTAGCCAGCTGGGCTCAAAAAAACTGAAGTAATGACATTCATACATGTACCTTGAGAGAGTAAAAAAGTCAACACTATTATTCTGAAGACTGAATGGACCCAGGTGCTCCAAATACTCATCACATGCAATCTTATTATCCTTCACTAGTTTTCCTTTCTAGGTTTCACTCAGAGCGCAGCAATGGGACCCCACAGTGTGACCTAGCTGGGGCCAGCTGAGATGAGCACTAGAGATTAATAAAACACAAGACATTGCAGAGCATAACAGCAGACACCAAATAAAAGGGATTGTTTTCCCATATCCAGCAGGAAAGGCCTACATAAAGACATGTTTAGAATGTTGCCAGTGGGACAGGGAGGGAGAGAATGCAATGCAAGGGGACACCCGTCATCCCCTTGAAGAGCGGCAAAGCCAGATGAGACTGAGGTGGCTGTGGGGGAATGAGGACCCTCTCCACAAGACACCCACAAACCACAGAACATATGGGACATGGGGTGGCTTCACTGTTCTCAAGCAATGAAGCAAAGCTTTGGTCACATCTACAGTTTCCAAAAAAACCATCATCATCATCATCAACAGAATTTGGTCTCTATTACTTGTATTTTAAAGCTGCCGCCAATGTCAGATGGACACGGACTCAAAAGTAGGACATGACACTGCAGAGTTGTGGGATGAAAAACACTCCCCACCTCAGGACTCACTACTCTGAGTAAACCAGGAACTGTGGCCTGCAAAATGCCCCAAGGCCGTGGGACAAGGCCGTCCCACCCCTCCAGAACCAGCATAAAAGCCGGCCGAGGTCTCTCTCGCTCACACACTTCTCCTCAAGCCGTCTCCTCCTGCTCCTGCCCAACAACAAGGTGAGCTTCAAGCCCCCTGACCGTCCAGCTCCTGCACCCCTGGCCCCTCTCTTCCAGCACACTCAGCGCCAGCCTCAGCAGTGCTCACGCCTCCCCACAGCCCCACAACAGCCTCCACACTCCCTCACGTGGGATACACTTTGCTTCCTGCACTCCCACGCCACTTCCCTGCCTCACCCTCTCTCTTCCAGGCACCTCCACACCACACCCATGGCCTGCAACAACATCTGCAGTCCCTGCGGACCCACCCCGCTGGCCAACAGCTGCAACGAGCCCTGTGCCCTGCAATGCCAGGATTCCCGCGTCATCATCAACCCTTCCCCTGTGCTGGTCACCCTGCCAGGACCCATCATGACCTCCTTCCCCCAGAACACCGCCGTCGGATCCACCTCCTCCGCTGCTCTGGGCACTGAGCTCAATGCCCAGGGACAGCCCATCTCTGGCGGATTTGGCTTTGGCCTTGGCTACGGCCTGGGAGGCCTGGGCTGCTATGGCAGAAGGGGCGGCTACATCTGCTAAGGGCCCTCAGCACCACCCCTGACACCACCAGCTCTGGCCGCTGCCAACAGCTCCTGCAAGCAAAGCACCTCGGCTGATGGTCCTTCTACTTCCACCACACTCTGGATCCCTTAAATTCTCTCCCATGCCTTTTAATGCTTTTTCGTTAATAAAGTTTTCCTGCATCAAAGCCTCACATGTCTCCTCTTCATTTTAATTCCAAAACTCTCATACCCTCACCCTTGGCTGGATGGCAAAGGTGCACAACACCTTCCTAAACAAGTAGAACCCCAACAAGTGACAACCAGGACTGCCACAGGAAGCTGGGTTGAATCATAATCATCCAGAATATTACAAAGTCACATCTCCTGCCATTCCAAAGGCTTTGACAAAACAATGCTCTCCTGCTCATTGCTCTGGTTAAGTCTCTCCATGCAAGCATATGCTTGACAAAATACCCTCCCATCACAACTCTCAAACCACACAAACAATCACAATATCCTTCACTTTCAGAGAAACTCAGAAAGTGCTGCAAGGGTTTCCATCCCCTCTGCTCAAGGAAGGCTACCCAGGGAAGGATTTCCAGAACCATGGACACTTCAGGTTTTCATCTCTCTGGACAAAAAAACTCCTCCACCTCTTCCACTCTGTGACCAACCTCAAACTAAGAAAGGCTTCTCTGCTCAGCCCTTGGAATTCCATCTGTTTTTACTTGTGCCATTGCTGACTTTTCCTTCACATGTGCGGCACTGAGAAGAGATGTCATCCCTTGGCTTCATTCCCTGCCATCCCAGATTTACACACACTGGTAACAAGCCCCATCCAGTCTGGTTTCCTGGAAGTCCCAGCTCTTTAAGTTCTCTATGAAAAATCCTTTCAGCCCTTTAAATATTTTGGTAGTCCTGAACTGACCTTGATTCCCTAAGTCTGTGGGCGTCCGCCTCTGGGGAGCCCCAGAACTTCTCACACTGACTCATGTCATTTTTGAGGATGTTGAAAAGAGTTAGCCACAGGGATACAACTATTGAGCCACTTCATTTGGATTTCGACTCCAGCTTGACTTTGCATCACAAGGCTCCAGGTCACATTGTTTCAATATTATATAAATAGAGCAGTCCAACTCACTGACCATTTACACCACCTGTACCATGCTTGCATGGTCTGGGATGATGAAGGAGGAGACACTGCCAAAGACATTGCTAAGAGGTGGAGGTAAACACCAGCCATGGCTCCCTCATCACCCACAGTAAAATTCTTTCTTTCTCTATGGAAAACAGAGGTCACTAACACAGGATTTTGCCCTCCAAATTCAATTCTAACTGCCCAACATCACCTTGTATGATCTGCACGAGGAAACGCTTTGTAGGGGAAAAAATTGTCCCATCCTTGAGTTCAGGAACAAGCTCCCTGGAAATCCATGGGAAGGTGGGAGGGAGTAAATGCACTGGAAAGGGCAGGTCGACTGCCTTGCACAGCCACAAAGCCCAGAGCAGCCTGACAGGGCTGTAAAGGAATGGGGTCCCTCTCTCAAATGCAGTCACAAACCAAAGCACACATGTCCCATGGGTTGAACTCATTGCTGACATCCCAACTTTCAGAGGCATTTGAGGTTTATTCTGGTTTCTCTTACAGGCATCCACCAAGTAAATCCTTCCAAATACCAACTCACACTTTAAAGCTGATGCAAAGGTGAGATGGACATGCTCAGAACTGCAGGATTTGGAATTGTAGAGTTGCAGGAAGGAACTCATGACTCGTCAGGCTGGGCTACGAAAAACTGATGTCCTGATTTCCATTCAGGTACCTTGAGAGAGTAAAAAGGTCAATACATTTCTTCTGAAAATTGAATGTATTCAGGTCCTTCAAGGGTTCCACAGACATCATCTTCTTATCCTTCACTAGGTTTCCTTTCAAGGTGCCACTCAGAGCGCAGCAATGGGACCCCCACAGTGTAACCTACCTGGGACCAGCTGAGATGAGTGCTAATGATGAATTAACACAAGATATTACAGGGCCAGACAAGAGACCTCAGACCACAGGGATTGTTTTCCAATATCCAGCAGGAGAGGCCTGATACCTAAAGAGGTTTAGAATGTTGGCAATGGACAGGGAGGGAGAGATGTGATTGAAGGGGACATCTGTCAGCCGCAGAAGAGCTGCAAAGCCCAGAAGGTCCTAACGTGGCTGTGGGGGAATGAGGACCATCTCCACAAGACACCCACAAACCACAGCACACATGGGACATTGCGTGACCTCACTGTTGACACTCCATTGTCCAAAGCTTTGGTCACATCCACACCACTCCACAAAAAACATCACCATCAACATCCTTTGGTCTCTAATACTTGCATTTAAAGTTTCTGAGGTCAGATAGACACACACTAAAAAGCTGGACATGACAGTGTAGAGTTACAGGATGAAAAACACTCCCCACCTCAAGACTCACCCCTTAGCCAGCAAGGAACTCTGGCCTGCAAAATGCCCCAAGGCCAAGGGACAAGGCTGTCCCGCCAATCCAGAACCAGCATATAAGCCAGCCCAGAGCCTCTCTCCATCACACACTTCTCTTCAAGCCTTCTCCTCTTGTGCCTCCCAGCAACAAGGTGAGTCTCATGCTCCTTACACTCCTGCTCCTGCAGCCCTGTCCCCCCTCTTCCAGCATGCTCAGCCGAAGGCTCAGCAGCCCTCACGCCGCCCCACAGTCCCAAAACAGCCTCCACACTCCATCACCCTCCTGCATCCCTGCCCCTCACACCCCCACACCCCTGACCTGCCTCACCCCTCTCTCTTCCAGGCACCCTCCACACCACACCCATGGCCTGCTACAACCGCTGCAGTCCCTGCGGACCCACCCCGCTGGCCAACAGCTGCAACGAGCCCTGTGCCCTGCAATGCCAGGATTCCCGCGTCATCATCAACCCTTCCCCTGTGCTGGTCACCATGCCAGGACCCATCATGACCTCCTTCCCCCAGAGCACCGCCGTCGGATCCACCTCCTCCGCTGCTCTGGGCACTGAGCTCAATGCCCAGGGACAGCCCATCTCTGGCGGATTTGGCTTTGGCCTTGGCTACGGCCTGGGAGGCCTGGGCTGCTATGGCAGAAGGGCCGGCTACATCTGCTAAGGGCCCTCAGCACCACCCCTGACACCACCAGCTCTGGCCGCTGCCAACAGCTCCTGCAAGAAAAGTACTTCTGCTGATGGTCTCTCTACTTCCACCTCATACCTGATTCCTTCAGCTCCTTCCTTCTCAGCATTCTTTCACCTCAATAAAGTTTTCTTGCATCACAAACTGAGTTGCTTGCTGTTCTTTTTGAATTCCAAGAATCTCACTGCCTCACCCGGTGCAATGCCAGCACTCAACCATTATGTGGGATGGAAAGAGAGCAAAGAACATTTCTTAGCAAATATGTCACCACCAAAAACAACCAACGCTGACATGGGAAACAGGGGAGAGGGGAGACCTTCCAGAACATGACACGAGGCCATCATCTCATGTGCCAGAAGCTTTGACAAACCAATTGTCTCATTGGCACTGCTCTGCCACAGTCACTCTATGCCAGCATACACTTGAAAAACTCCCTTCACAGCAGCACTCAAGTCTTCCCCGTGAACAGAGGAACAAGAGCATCCACCTGGGCAGGAACTCCACAGTGCAAATGCTTCCATCCCTCTTCCTCAAGCAGGCGCATAGCAAGAGAAGTATTTCCAGGATTATGGCCAGTGCAGTTTTGGACCTTCAAGAAGAGGGACCCCACTGCCTCTTACACGCTGGGACCATCCACACACACTGAAAAACTCTTCCCTTCTTTGCCCATGGTGTATTCACTTTATTTTCAAATGTGCATGTGCCTTCTCTTCCTTCACGTGTGCAGTGCTGAGAAAAGCTGGGCTCCCACACACTCGTGTCACCACCCTGCCCAGCCTTGTCTCCTGACACTCTCAGCTCTCTCAGACTGTCCTCGAGCAAAGATCCACCAGGCCCTTTAAGTGTCTGGTGGCCCTCAACAGCTTTCTGTCCACTACCCCCTTGTGCTTCTTCACATCTCAAGGCCAGAACTGTCCACATCACTGCACATGAGATCTCACCAGTGCTCTAAAGAGAGGAAGGGCCACCTCTCACTATTTCATAGCAACAATTTCCTGAAATCTCTCTTGTACACAGGTGACCCACCACTGAAGTAGTGCCCCACTGCAACCTTTTGAGCACTCTGCTCTTGATCAGCACCACAGGGTACTACTCACAAAAGCCACTTCTCAGACTCTCAGTACACAGCTTTATCCCGGGCCCAGTGCAATTCCTATCCAGTTGCAGAACTTGGTATTTCTCTTGTTTGACCTTTGGAAGGTTCCTTTAAACCCTTAGACTTGAGGGCCTTCTGACTGGTGGAAAAGCCAAGTGGTGATCAAGACAATCCATCACCTGCCAGCGGGCTGAAGGGGCAACGCTCCCACTGCTGACATGGAATGGAAGAGTCCAGGCACTCACACCTGGCACAGATGTAAAGCCCAGACCAGCCTGACACACCTGGGATACTTTGGGGCCCCTCGTCACAAGATATCCAAAACACAAAACCAGGAGTTTACAAGCTGACCTCACTGATGACTCCACACTTCTCTAAACTCAGGTCACGTATTCAGTCCCCTTTGACACACACCATCAACACCAGCCTTCGGTCTCAAATACTCACACTTTAATGGAGGAATGACCACAATGGAAGGGGCACCTCCTCATGCACAGCACAGCTGCAAAGCCCAAACCAGCCTGACATGGCTGCAGTAGAATCGGGCCCCTTTTCACAACACACCCACAAAGAAACCGATACGAGTACCACAGAATGACCTCAGTAATGACACCCATATAATTCCAAGGCATTTGTTGAATATCTTGGTTATTCAGACACACATATTCCAAGCAAATCCTCCCAAATACCAACTCTCACTTAAAAGCTGACACCAAATTCAGGTGCAAACGGCCTCAAGAGCAGGACATGAAACTGAAGCATTGTGGAAGAAAAATATTCCCCACACCAATACACACAAATCTATGACACACAAAACCAATGTTAAAACTTCTGTTCAAGTACCTCTAGAGTGGAATAACGACGACCAATTTTTTTGAGAAATAAATGTCCACAGTCCCTTCAACTGAACATCAAGTCTTTCTATATCCTTAAAACATTTTTCTTTCCGTGTTTCTCTCAGAGCCCCGTAACGGGACCCCAAAGTGTGACCGTGCTGGGCCTAGCTGAGACAAGAAATACGGATGAACGTATAGAAAACATTGGACAGGAGGGAAGGTGTCACAGGGATTGTTCTCCCATATGCAGCAGGAAAGGCCTGGCATATACACAGGTTTAGAATGTCAGACATGGGACAGGGAGGGAGAGAATGTGGTGGAAGGGGACACCCTACATCTCCAGTAGAGCTGCAAAGCCCAGATGAGCCTGACATGGCTGTGGGGGAATGAGGACCCTCTCCACAAGACACCCACAAACCACAGCACGCCAGGGACATTGCGTGACTTCACTGTTGACACCCCACTGTCCAAAGCTCTGGACACATCCACATCTTGCCAAAAAAAACATCATCATCAACAGCCCTTGGTCTGTAATACCTGCATTTAAAAGCTGCTGACAAGGTCAGATGGACATGGATGCAATAGTAGAACATGACACTGCAGAGGTGGGGGATGGAAAACATTCCCCACCTCAGGACTCACCACACTGATTCAAGCAGGAACTGTGGCCTGCAAAGTGCCCCAAAGCCATCGGACAAGGCTGTCCCACCCCTCCAGAACCAGCATAAAAGCCAGACCAGAGCCTCTCTCCCTCACACACTTCTCCTCAAGCCTTCTCCTCCTGCTCCTGCCCAACAACAAGGTAAGCCTCAAGCCCTGACCCTCCTGCTCCTGCATCCCTGGCCCCTCTCTTCCAGCATGCTCAGCCACTGCCTCAGCAGCCTTCACACCTACCCACAGCCCCACAACAAACTCCACAATACCTCACTCTCCTGAATCATTGCCCCATGCACATCCACACCCCAGTCTAACCTCATCCCATGTCTTCCAGGCACCCTCCACACCACACCCATGGCCTGCTACAACCGCTGCAGTCCCTGCGGACCCACCCCGCTGGCCAACAGCTGCAACGAGCCCTGTGCCCTGCAATGCCAGGATTCCCGCGTCATCATCAACCCTTCCCCTGTGCTGGTCACCCTGCCAGGACCCATCATGACCTCCTTCCCCCAGAACACCGCCGTCGGATCCACCTCCTCCGCTGCTCTGGGCACTGAGCTCAATGCCCAGGGACAGCCCATCTCTGGTGGATTTGGCTTTGGCCTTGGCTACGGCCTGGGAGGCCTGGGCTGCTATGGCAGAAGGGCCGGCTACATCTGCTAAGGGCCCTCAGCACCACCCCTGACACCACCAGCTCTGGCCTCTGCCAACAGCTCCTGCAAGCAAAGCACCTTGGCAGACGGCCTCTATACTTTTACCTCACACCTGATTCCTTCAGCTGCTTCCTTCTCATCCCTATTTGTATTCAATAAATTGTTCTTGCATCAAAACCTGAGTTGCTTCCTCTTCTTTTTGAATTCCAATGGTCTCACATCCTCACTCTGTGCAATGCCAGCACTCAACCATTATGTGGGATGGAAAGGGAGCAAAGAACATTTCTTAGCAAATATGTCCCCACCAGGAACAACCAATGCTGACATGGGAAACAGGGGAGAAGTGCAAAGTTTCCAGAACATGACACAAAGCCATCACCTCATCTACCAAAGGCTTGGACACAACAACTCTCTCCTGGGCACTGCTCTACTATCTAAATCACACTATGCCAGCAGACACTTGAAAAATTCTCTTCCCAGCAGCACTCTTGAGTCCTCCCCAGGGACACAGGAACAAGAGCATCCACTTGGGCAGGAAATCTCGAGAGCAAGTGCTTCCATTACCTGTGCTCAAGCAGACCTGGCAGGAGTAGGATTTCCAGGATTATGGCCAGTTCAATTTTGGACCTCCAAGAAGATGGACCCCTTTGTCTCTTACACTCTGGGACAATCCACACATACTGAACAATCCTTCCTTCCTCTGCCCATGGAATTCCATCTATTTTCACTCATGCATGGACCCCCTTTCCCTTCATGTGTGCACTGTTGAGAACAGCTGGGCTCCCGGACACTGGTGACAGTCCTCTGCCCAGCCTTGACTCCTGAGAGTCCCAGCACTCTCAGCCTCTCCTCTAGCAAAAATTCTCCAGCCATTGCACTATCTGCTGGCCCTCAACCTCTCTTCGTTCACTACCCCCTTGTGCTTCTTCAGCTGTCGAGGCCAGAACTGTCCATAGCACTCCTCACAGAAACTCACCAGTGCTCTAAAGAGAGGAGGGGCCATGTCTCACAACTTCATGGCAACAATTCCCTGAAATCTGTCTTGGACACCGGTGATACCCCACTAAAGTAACTCCCACTGCAACCTTCTGGTCTGTGTTCTTCATCAGCACCACAGGCTCCTGCTCACAAAAGCCACTTTTCAGACTCTCTGCCCACAGCATGAGCCAGGGCACAATCCAATTCCTGTCCAGATCCAGAACTTCACATATTCCGCTCTTGAAATGCAGGACTTTCCTGTAACCCTTAGTCTTAAGGTCCTGCTAACTTGTGGAATAACCAAGTGGGGGCTCAGAGACTCCATCATCTGCCAGCTCACTGAGGAGGCAACTCAAATCTCCAACTGCCAACATGCAATGGAGGAGTCCAGGTGCTCACATCTGGCACAGATGCAAAGCCCAGACCAGCCTGACACACCTGGGAAAGTTTAGGGCCCCTCTTCACAACACAAACAAAACCCCAAAACCATGAGTTCCATGGGATGACCTCACTGATGACAACCCACCTCTCCACATCTTGGTCACATCTTCAGTCTCTTTTACACACACCATCAACATGTTAAAGGAGGAATGGCTTTGATGGAAGGGGCAGCCCCTCATGCAAAGCACAGCTGCAAGGGCCAGACCAGTCTGACATGACTGTGGTGGAATGGGGCCCAAATTCACAGCACACACACAAAGTAAACAACACGAGTGCCACAGAATGACCTCACTGATGACACCCATATTGTTCCTA